GCAAGAGCTGAACTTTGGATTCATGAACAGGAGCAGGCTTGTGAGCTTTTCTGCTTTCTGTGCTAAGGAGAATGCGCCGTGGCAGGAGTGGATCCAAGCGTGTCGTGGGGAGTACTCAACGGTTTTGCGGATGTTTGGTTTAAAAGGGCACACTTCCCTGACACTTTGCTCTTTTGATCTGTCCTGACGTTTCGCCTCACTTGCACATCCGCTTTTGTCCCCCCTTGCTGTCGAATTTGAGCCGGTAAAATCTTCAGCAGGACATGTTTCCCACTTTGCCCTGGTAAGCCAGAACGACTTTTCTAATTTAGGGGTATAGGTCAGTAGAGTAGGCACAATTGCCGCTTTGCCCCCTATCTTTGTCCTCCATCATTCCCCAAAGCTGTACATCCCTGTAGACCCCAGTTTCAATTTCATGCTCCATTGTGTTTTGCATTTGATTCTCCATGACTGGGGCCATTTGCCTTTCTATTCCCCCAAATCCCTATATATAGTTCTGTAGACTTATGCTTACTAAGCCCTAAGCCTTAATGCCCTAGTATATTCCGGAGAAATCCCTTCGTAACTCCTATAGAACTTTGTATCCTAAAGCCTTATCTCTGAACCCAAAACGCTAGTCTATTCCCCAGAGAGCCTTTTATAACTCCTATAGAACTATGTGGTAGCTTCCCTTTCACTGAATAGGGGTATCCCAATATAGACCCCCCAAATACTATAGTCCTTATTATAGGGACCCCCCCAAAAAGTACCTCGAATTTTGGGAAATTCCCATGAATCCTCAACCCTAAGCCCTGAAGCCTAAACCCTGATGCCGACGCAGCCTGTTGCAGGACCTCATCGGCAAGTCCGGGATGGCTAAGAGCTCAGCATTCCAAATCTGACCCAAAAGGTTTAGGGTTTCGGGTTTGCAGCACGTACGTATATATATATATGCACACACCCATAGGATCCAAAAAATGGAACCCCCTGATAATCCCCTAGTTTCCCCAATGTAGTAATGGGTTCATATTGGGGGGGAGGTCCATTTTTTGGATCCTTTAGGGGGTCTGGGCATATAGATATAGATAGATATATATACATATATCTATATAAGCTACTCTCTCTATCTATATTATATGTATGTATATATTAATACATTCAGTATACATAAATATATATATATATATCATACGCATAAATGTGTATCTATGTATGCACATAGGATTCAAGGTTTGGGGCAAGGTGTGGAACATGGAGACGCAGATTTGAGGTTCGGCTGAGCTTGCGAGTCGGCTGGCTAAGGCGACACGGCGAACGGCTTGGATGGTCCGGAACGGCTGCTCCTGCCCGAAGCCCAAGTGAGTAGCATTGCAAATCGGGATACCAGAGTCCCCAAGTATTGGGGCAGTTTATACACTGTTTTGGTTGCTGTACGAGAAGAAACCAGGCAACAAAATACTCATGTTGCTCAGGGTTGCTGGTGGCAATTTGGACTTTCCGCGGCTACTTCCTCCAAAGTCCAAATTGTGATTTGGGACGCAGAGCTGGCGTATACAACTGCTTCCTAAGGTGGATACCAGAAATCCTGCATGACCCTAAGTACCTTCTACCTTGGGAATAATGTGACTATAGTATATTTAGGTCATGCAGGATTTTTAGTTTCAACAGTAGTGCTGCTCATGTGGGGCATTGTCAAAATCATGGGCTGTGATTTGGGTACCGTAAGCAGAGGGTTCCGGACTCGGCACTCTTTGGCTTTCCAGCATTCACGCACGTAGCGCACAGAGCGGCGGAGTTTTAAGATTCTAGTATATATGGAACCGAAACATTTGGGCTGAACTATATATCTATCTAGACTAACCCCATTTGGGGCGAGATATACTGATTTAGGTACTTGAACCGCAGGGCACAGTCCGATGGAATCAAACATCCCAAGAGCTACTGCTTGGCATGCACTCTTGCAGTTGGGCAGAGTGTCCGAGTTCAGATGGGAAATGGGCAACAAGGCCGCTGTGCTAAACATGGTAAAACATTGAAAAACCATCTGGTCAGAACAGTTGCTGCCTAAACCCTACGGCTCAAGCCTTTCACTCAAGGTGTCAGTCCGAGCAGTGACCTAGATTCGAAGGAGTGTCCGGACCTCTGAAACGTGATCATTGGGGAAGCATGAGGCCTACAAGCATTTGTCTGCTCCTGGCTGTCTTTTACAGCTTCCGGAGTGCAGAGGCGCAGACCGACCACGACGATCACGACGGCCATTCCCATGGCGATGAGGGTGGATCTTTTGAGTGGGCAGGCATCTTCGAAACACCGCTGAGCAGCTATCTCTGGACGGCACAGAAAGTGGACGGGGCCTACGTTGATCCTGCAATGAAGTTGGTCGCTTTGCCAGCCACCACGTTGACCCAACAGGGCCTGCACGATATGGAGACGATGGGAAAAGCAGCCATGGAGTTGACTTGCACAGATGTGTCATCTGGAGGTACAATCACGCCGGCTGCCAACACCTGCTACCACCTGCAGTTTGATGCGAGCACATGGCAGACCCTCTTTAAGGTTGACACAAGTGCAGTATCCGGCGTGGCCTTCTTTGCAGAGCATGTGCCAACAGAGTTCGAAGCAACAGCCCACTACTTGAAGGACGCTGTGGGCACAGACATCGAGCCTCTGGGCGAACTGCCGGAAAAAGCGCCAGTGGAAGTTACCACAGACGCGGGGGCCTTTCTGGCAGCTTTCCTGGTGAACTTGGTGACCTTCGTCGGGGTGATCCTGATGTTTGGCCCGCTGAGAAGGATGGTCCAGAAACCTGTGTTCAGCGCAATGCTCTTCGCGTTCGCTGCTGGTGCTCTGCTTGCCTGTGCCTTCTTCCTGCTGCTCTTTGAGTCGACGCATCTCATTGGAGTGGGTTGGAAAACAGAGGTGGACATTGTTTGGCGATGGGGTGCCATGATCCTTGCGGGCATGGTGGTGCCTCCGGTGGTGGAGACAGTCATCAGTTTGCTCATGATGGCGCGTGGGCAAAGGGAGTCCAGCTCCAGTGACCCTGAGAGGACCAACCAGGAGGATTCTGAGAAGGAGCCGACTGAGCTGCAAGGCATGGACGAGGCACAGAAATTCAGGGCTAAGGCTCGCCTGTTGGGAGCCGTGATCATCGGGGACTTCTTTCACAATCTCTGCGACGGCTTCTTCATTGGGGCAGCCTTCCAAGGTTGCGGGAATGCCTTTGGCTGGAGTGTGGCTGCTGGCACCATCTTGCATGAGCTTCCTCAGGAGATCGCGGACTTCGTGATTTTGACTGGCCCCGTGGCCAAACTGTCCACTTTGAAGGCCTTGGCCTTCAACTTCCTCAGCGGCCTCAGCGTCCTGATGGGGGCACTCATCATTGCAGCCACGCCAGTAGACGATTCCCTCGTTGGCCTTATCTTGGCTTTCGGCGGTGGAGTTTATCTGCACGTTGGCGCTACTGACTGCCTTCCGAAGATGTACGACCCCAAGCTCACCTTTGGAGAGCGCCTTCTCGCGTTCGTGTCCTTCGGCATCGGGGCTGTCTGTATTGGCTTGATTCTGATTGGCCATGAGCACTGCATTCCCGAAGGAGGGGATGGTCATGATCATGGCTCAGGTCACGATGGACACGCCCACTAATTCGCAGCAACCTTGTGTTCATGTCTGGGCCCTGGGTTGGGACATAAAACCTTTTTTCTTGAACTTATGGCAAGCAGAAGCTATGCTGCAGTTGCATTTGCTTGCCATGGCTTGTAGGGTCCGCAAAGCGGATACCGCAGAGGGGAGTTTTCTTTTTTCGGCTTTACAGTCGGCCCTTTTGTAACAGCTTGGCTTTTCTGCCACCGGCTGGGCTGAATCACTCTCTTCGCCATGGGCGGCAGAAGTGTAGCACAATTGTATTTGTAAGAGCTCTTGCTACAATGTTCAATATTCACTTGTCGATCATCCTGCCGTGTTCACATGGACACACAGGCTTGGCCAGAGAAATTATGCTCTATAGGGCTGATGCACATGTGACATGTTGGCCAGTTGCGAAACCTTAGGAAGGTCTTCATGCAGCTTCGTCTGGAGAACGGGGCGTGCCAGAGGAATGCAGTCAGGTGCCGGCTGAAGGATGTTGGGTTTCGCGGTTGATGTTACGGGTGCATGGGCTTTTTGATTCTCATCCTGCAGCTGGCTAGCTTGGCTGCAGCCCCCCCGGAACGAACCGTGCCTGCTGAGTGCGATGCACGTGCCTAACTTGAATCAAAGCTTGCGTATCACCCAAATTCTAAGGCTCCTATCGCTATGGCCACACCATCCAGGAGCCGGTGGAGATGCCAAGCTGGATGCACCTGCTGGCACGTTTCGCTTTGAGCTGGCTTAGGGCTTGCCTGAACCCTAGAAGTATGTAGAATAATGGCCTTTAGGGCGATGTTTAGGGGTTTTAGGTTATTGTTGTACCTAATTACTGTTGGGGTCCACGTATGGTTTAGGATTCAGGCTTCACACCACATCGGCAGAGATGCTTCGAGATCAAGCCACTTATTTTCCTTCAGACAAGGCATTGGGGGACTGGGTAATAACAGACCTGCCCCAACCTTTTGCCCGCCCCTAACTTTTGGGGAAATCCTAAACCCTACATCGATTCTTGGCCCTCTCTTGGGAATTGATGGGGACGGTCTGGATGATGCTACGCCAATCCGACACGTTGAGAAGGTTTTTTCAGCATTGGCCGGGAGCTCTTTATGCAGCCGCTGCAACACACCCTAAACCCTAAGCCCACATTAAAGCGGGGCCGTTCAGCCATGCGGGTGCAACATTCTGGTAAGTTGGCTCTCTGCTGGGTGGAAGCCTTTGAAATCCCAAACCTTGAGCCTAAACCCTATAACCCTCAATCCTAGGCCCTAAATCCCTAAACCCTCAATCCTAAACCCTTAATCCTAAACCCTCAATCCTAAGCCCTGTAGCTTGCAGCCTTGGCAGCATTCGGCCCAAAGGGGGGGGCGGGACCCCCTTTGCGAGGGTCCAAAGCAATGGATCCCAGCATCATCCTAAAGACCTTGACTGGCATCGATGCAGCTGGGCGAGTGTTTACGGGTTTAGGATTTAGGGTTGCGGTTGCCTGTGATTTGGAAAGGGTTGCAGTAATTCTTGCATAATAATATCCGAAGCATCCAATGATACGGCTTCAATTTTCGATCTTTTGAACCACCTAATCTTGAAACACTCGACCCTTTCCAACGTCCCTTTATTTTAGTTCCTATGTAACCCCGGTGAGATTGTAATTTCCCTTGTCTGGTCCACTTCGTCATTTCCTACAAACCCTCAGCAAGCTGCCTGCAGAGTGTGGAGCTTGTTCAACCTGTAATTAGTGATGACACGATAATGGTAAAGACTTACGGGGATTAGTAGGGAATCTTGGTTTTATACGGATTTGTCCTGATCTTCTTCTTACCTACTGACCACTGCGGTTTAGGGGTATAAGGGCTTAGGCCGCAATAGCCGTACCAACAGAAGTGATAGGATCAAGGGCTTAAACAATAGTTATAAACTTTGCTTCCCAGTAGAGGCACGGCAGGCTGAACGAGAAAAAAAAGTAATCCCATCCCCCAACATATTCTAATAATGCACAATGGGAATACGTAATGTTAGGGGGGCGGTTGACGTTAGTGGGAGGGGATTCGTTATAATATGAATAGCGATTACCCTGATATTAGTATAGTAGAAATGAAGAATAGCCATGAGAAGAGATCAGCCAAAGCGTAGTGCCCAGCGAATGGATTTGACGGGTTGTTGCAGTAGGGCTAATATGCATCAGAGTGTTCATGTCATCCTGGTTCATAACGCAAGTATGCAGAATGTTGTGTTTTTTGACTTTGTTTATCAAGTTGGGCTCTTGGTTTACCTAACCTTTGAGGGGTCCAGGTATAATTGATGCGGCGGTTATTCTTGCTGCAGGTTGTGTGGTGATGTCCCTTGTAGTCATTGCCCCGTTTGCAGGGAGCATTCAGAGTTCTGGGCTCTTGAAGCATGCAAAGTACCTGGAGTATACAAAAGGCAATGGTGCGAACGTATTAGATTGAAATCCTTTTGCTGCAGGTGCATTGGTTGCTGTAGGCAGGTGCACCATGCGGTTCACAAGGATGAGGCGGTCCGGTTCTTAAGATTCAGAATTAGCTTTCGTATGTCAGAAATTGTGTTTGCAAGCCAAACAGAGGCTGGCAAGCATGCGACTACCCAACCAACTCCTAAACAGTTTGCAATTGGAGTGAATGAATAGGGGGACCCAATGTAGACCTCCAAATACTACAGACTATAGTCCGTATTACAGAGGAGAAAACCCTCAAATGGTACCCCTATTCTTGGGAAGCCCCTAACTTTCAAAGCAATCAAGGACAGCATTCTGGCGACAGTTCTGGCTCAGCTCATGCAGAGCAAGCCCGAGCTTGCCCCAGGCCTTGTCAATGCAGCTGAGCGGCATTTCCGTGCACTTCTATAAGGGGAGGCTTTGAAAATAAGGGATACCCTTTTAGGGGTCCCCAAAATAAGAGTATATTGGGGTCTATGTTTTGCTGTGGTTGCGAAGAGCTGTGGACAGATTTAAGCTCAGAAATGCAAAAATTGCCCGAAAAGACGAACAGTCGACACGCTTTTTAAGGCAGTTTAGCACGAAAAGTAGAAAAGCCGAAAAATCCGAAACGTCACGAAAAGTACCAAAAAACGCGAGACATCGAAAAGTAACGAAAGCACCAAAAAGTCGAAAAGTAACGAAAAAACCGAAAAGTCGAAAAGTTCCGAAAATAGCCAAAAGGGCGAAGAGTCGAAAATCAACGAACAACACGAAAAGTCGAAAAATCCCGAAAAGTTCCGAAAAGTGCCAAAAAAAACGAAAAGTCGAAAAGTAACGGAAAAAACCGACAAGTGGAAACATCGAAAATTACCAAAAAGTTCCGAAAAGTGCCAAAAACACGAAAAGTCACAAATTACCGAAAAACACGAAAAGTCAAAAAGTCGAACATTCCCGAACAGTTGCAAAGTGCCGAGAAACCCTAGAGCCTCCGACTAAACTCCACTAGGCCCCAAGCCACAGAGCACTCTTTAAGGCTTCGGATTCGTTTCTTTGGCATTCAGCTGCTCCAGAACGCATGCCCACGCCAAACCTGTTCTCGGAAAGCTTGTTGGTTTGAGGCGAATTCCTTTGAGGAGGGTTGTGCTCAGCGGCCCACGCCCGAATCTC